ATCCAACTGCTACGGTCACTGCAGGCAAATTTGGCATCCTATGTGGCGGAGGAGATGGAGCACGTGGACGTCTCGAACCCAGAACAAGGCTGCTATATGGACATCCTCACCCAAGCCATCATGCAGAAGGTGGAAGTGGAGGAGTTGCTGCTGCAAAGTGATCATGATCAGGAGGTGGCTAAAAGTCAAGAAATAGAAGAAGAATTCCTGGTCACCAAAACGATCAGCAGCAAGGAAGTGTGGGAAGACTTTGAGAATTGGGTTCCATCCATTACTGCTGAATACGACCAGCTGGTCAAGACCAAGGAGGCAGTTGAGCAGATCACCAAGCAAAGCCTTCGTGAACGTGCAGAAGCTCAAGGCAAGGTGATCGAGATCTTGCCTGCAAAAATGGTGTACACCCGCAAAGCAACTTCAGGCGCCAGAAGAGCACGTGCAGTTTGTTGCGGGAACTACTCTGACTCCAGGTTCAGTGGCGACTGCTATGCTGGTGGCGCCGATGGGTGTCAAGTCAGAGCTTTGGTTCGTACAGCTGCCATCAAAGGGTGGAACCTAGCGGCTACAGACATCAGAGTCGCTTTCTTGAACGCCCCAAGAAGAGATGATGGAAAGCTAGTGGCCATGGAAATCCCGAGTGTGTACAAGCGCTTGGGCCTGGCACGTGAAGGTGAAGTTTGGTTGGTCCAACTGGCCATGTACGGCCTAACTACTTCCCCACGGGATTGGTCGCAGCATCGGGATCGCACTTTGCCTGCGGTCAACTGGGTTCGAGTGAGAGAAGCAAACAACCAAGCAAAGAAGGTCAGAGGCCGCCTCACCAAGACAGAGGATGAGAACCTATGGCGACTGGAAGAAGCTGACACTGAGACGGGGGAGGTGCACTGGACTGGCCTGATGTCGATCTATGTGGATGACATCCTCATCTCAGGGGAAGAAGAAACAGTGGCTGCAGCCTTGCAATCTCTGCAGGCGACCTGGACCACATCAAGTATAGAGTGGGCCTCATCGACATCGGCGGTTCACTATTGTGGCTTCGAGATCACCGCAGATGAAGCAGGCAATGGCTTCCACTTGTCCCAGAGCAAGTACGATTTGGCTCGCTGGAATGTCAAGGAGTCGACATCCTTCCCGAATTTCAAGGTCAGTGAAGCGGACCTGGAGCCTCCGGATCAGGTGGACAAGAACCAGATCAGAGAAGCGCAGGCTCTGGCCGGATCCTTGCTTTGGTTGTCTACCAGGTCCAGACCGGATTTGGCCTATGGGGTAGCGGCATTGAGCAGAATGGTCACTCGAAATCCAGCAAGATCCATTGAGATTGCTCACTCCCTCCTGGCCTATGTGAAGGGCGTGCCGGGCGACTTGCACTACCCTCGCTGGATTGAAGAAACATGGGGGTCGAGAGGCCAGTTGAAGGTCCAGCGCCACAACAAGCTGTTAGAAGTTTTTGCCGACATTGCCTACGGCACTGGGGCCAATCACCGAAGTGTTCAAGGTTTGGTGATTTGTTTTGGAGGCGCACCCATTGCATGGCAAAGTGGAGCACAACCCTTCGTCACCCATTCCACAGCAGAAGCAGAGCTGGTTTCCTATTGTGAGGGTCTTTGCACCGGCCGAGCCACAGAAGCTTTGCTATGTGCTATGTGGGGGGAGCCGCTCACGAAGGCTAACCCGTTTGAGAGGGTGATTTATGGGGACAATGCAGCAGCCATAAGTCTCGCCCATGGCAACAGCGCCACATCCTGGAGAACAAGACACTTGCGTGTCCGTGCCAACATCCTCAAGGAGGCCATTGATGAAGGTGGCAACTACCCAGGGGGTGTGTGGAAGCTGTCTCACTTGAAGGGGACGGAGCTGGTCGCTGATGGTATGACGAAACCTCTCCTCGGCCAGAGCTTTGCTGGCTTCCTGGGAGATTTGGGCATGAAGGCACCTGAACCAAAGATGGCGAAGATGAATCCTGGCCATCAAGGACCTCTTTCAAGCGTCGGCCAACAAACGGCTTTGAAGGCGGTGCTGGCTGGAGGCGCCCTGGTCCGAGCGGCTGAAGCGCATGGTGGTGGAGGTGATGATCCCGACCCACTCTTCGGGAACCTATGGATCTGCGGCATAGTGCTGATCCTCATCGGGGCAATCTGGGTGAGTAAGGCAGCTTTCATGTCTTTGAGATGCTGTTTGAAGAGGTTGCATGGAGTTGTCAGCAGGCCACCGGTCCAAGAGGAGCCGTATGAGAGTGAGGAGGAGAACAGGACTACAGCACGGCGACCAAGGCGACAGAGGATGGAGGAGCAGCAACTTGTGGCACATGAAGATGAGTCTGCCACATCGACTGAGGAGGAGGAGACAGAAATGTGTGAAAGGCCTCAACGTCAAGGGGTGAGCAACCGGGAACAAACTATGACACGGAGGAGGTCTTTGTCCAAGCCTACAAGCAGGCGATCGGGCTCGGCGTGCGGGTCTTCATCGAGAACGATGAGAAGGTGCTCAAGCGGCCCAGAGAGAGCTGCGGCAAGAGCGGCTGGTCAAGCAGCTGAAGGCGCGGAACGTGCGGCTGAATCTGCGCAGCTGGCAGCGGATGCGGCTACTCAAGCTGCAGAAAGTGCTGAAGCAGCCACGCAAGCGCTTCGAGCGCTGGCCAAGCCGAAGGCGGTGGCGATCCAAAGGATCGATGTCAGTGGTTCTCAAAATCCATGGAACCGCTTTCAACAGCTCCACGCAAGACGGGGCTGGAGCATGCAGCAAATGCGTGCGGAATACTACAAGGAGAAGTGCCAAAAGTAAAGTGCCTTGAGCTGGCCCTCCTTTTTCCCGACTTTTTCGCACCAAGCGAAAAGGGGGAGACTGTTGCTGTGGTGAGAACATCATGGCATACATGAGAGTACATACCGAAGGCACTTTTGATGTCAAGAGAAAAGGTGCGAACCCTTGTCTTTCAAGCCAAGAAAATCAAACGATTGCTCTCGCATCGGAACAACCGAATCCCTCGCATTTGTTGAAAGGAGCCTTGCTACATCCGAGATACAGCAGAGCGAGGGATCACGTTGCACCAGCTGCAGCAAATCGTCATGCTGATTGCGAAAATGGTCGATAGCTGGTGCGAAACATATGGCACTCAGGCCGGATGCTCATTGGACTTGAGTAGCTTCAACTTGTACCATGCGAATCATTGGATCATCAAGCCAGCCACTGAAGGCTTTCATGAGCATGGATGTAGCATGGTGGAGATCATGGCAGTGCAAGTGCAGATACCGAGCTGGTTTGTGTCCCATGCTTGGATCGAGCCTCGTTCGTTTCAAGCAGTTACTTTTCATGTGTCTTTCTTGTTCGTTGTAAAAGTTTCTCTCTGTAAAAGTTTCTCTCTAAAATACAGAGTTTTTCGGGAGAGATGCTTTGCCAGGAGCCTGTCTGCAAGTTCTTAGCCTGTTTGGAGCAACATGCTTTGATCCGTGAGCTGCCGAGTAGCACTGCCTACTGGGTGTGTGCCTATGCAAACAATCAGCATTGTGTAGCAGAGGATATCAAGAGCAATCCCCGCAATACCTCATTCTACCGGGCCAT